AAAAAAAAAAAAGAAAAAGAAAAAGAAAAAGAAAGTTTTAAGGATGAAAGTGAAAAAATAGGTCATACTTTAGTGGACATATAAATTGCAATATATACATTATATGATATATTAACTTCCAAAGTAGAGAGAATCATCTTACACTGTTCCGGCTATGCGTGTGCTGATATGGGTGTTCTCTTCTTCATCAAGTTTTGCCAAACCAAAGTCAGATATCTTAGCATTTAGATCCCTATCAAGCAGCACATTTGTTGCCTTTATATCGCGATGAACTATTTTCAACCTTGACTCCTCATGAAGATAAGCTAACCCCCTTGCGATCCCCCAACATATCTTCTGTCTTGTTCGCCAGTCCAAGTGTAGCTGCTGTTCCTTGGAACCTATCAATGTCAAAACGGTTAGAACAATGTGAAATCTTGTCCTTAAAATTGATTAAAGTACCGTAGATGCGCGAGGCAACCATTTACCAAAAAGTGCGCGAGCAAGACTATTGTTTTCCAAGTATTCATATATGAGCATCAATTGATTGCCTTCAATGCAGCAACCAAAAAGCTTCACAAGATTCGGGTGTTGTAATGCAGATATCATGCCTATCTCGGTTATAAATTCACGGTTCCCTTGCTTCGATTTGGATGACAACTGCTTAACAGCAATCACACGACCATCTGATAGTACCCCCTAAAAGAATGCAAGCAAATCCAACATCAAATATTTTAGACAATTGTTTTTCTTCAGATTATCTTAACATGTACTTACAGACATGGACCAAAATTTAACAAATATATTGTACTTACCTTGTAAACCGGCCCAAAACCTCCTTCACCTATCTTATTTGCAGAGTCAAAGTTACCGGTAGCAGCTTTAATGTGTCTTAGTGAAAAGTAACCTGTTTGCAACTCCAATCCACGTAGTTCTGTAAAAATAAACATATATTAGGTAGTTTCGTGTAGTGACATAGTCAAAGTGGCAAACCAAATTAGTTATTCTACAATACATGTTTGCCTTAAATGAAGTGCTGTCAAGAAAAACCAGCCCATTTACTCTCAAGTGCTAAATCAGTATTAAGAAACCAAAAAGAATTTGATGTAGATTATCTAGACTTGACCATTCATAACTCATAAGCATACTTTTCCGGTTTAAATCTCAACAGAAACTACCTGCAGATACGATCGCGTATTTAAATGGAAAGTAAGGAACTGCGGACTGCAACAATATTTTTCCAAAGCCATTGAACTCTCCATTTTAAAATTAAATCCTTAATATGTTGTCCAGCAAGGACTAATCATTTTTTCTCCTCGGCAATGTTTTCATATATATATTGGATATGTTAATTAACTAGGAATTTTGAAACAGTATATTAAACATAGGCAAATTAACAAATAAATAAATCAATATCATGCAAATGCACCCCAATGACCACACAAAGCACTGATATCCAACCTCTTAGCCAAGTGAGGTTCCTATTTGAAAGAAACTTTGGGTGTCATTAATTCTCACCTGGATCTTCGATGCCCTTTCCCCCCAAGAAACCCATCTTCCAAAGTGCCACCAAAATAAAAAGGACACCAACAAACGATCCAACTACAATGCCAACAATTGCTCCAACAGACAACCCGCCAGTATCGACATTGAAGTCTGTAAAGAAAGAGAAGATATTTTGTTACCCTAAGATTTCAAGCAAAGATGGAGATCATAGTAAGTAAATACTAAATATCATCAAACTTACTTGGTGTCACAGTAATGGCAGATATAAGAGGTCCATAAACACCTCTGTCAGGAATAGCAGTAGTTCCTTTCCCCGCCCAGTACAAGTGGATCTCTAGAGTGCTACCGTTAACAAAAACATTATCAAATGTCTTTGTTAAGCCTACTCCAACCCCT